CCCCAAAACCCCAAAACCCCAAAACCCCAAAACCCCAAAACCCCATTTTCTTTAGGAAAAATTGAAAATAATTGCAAACAAATATGTCACATTATGAGTATGGAGGTAATTAACCAGGAATCTTAAAGCTTTAATCTCGAATCTATAGCGCTATATAGAGGCTCTACATTGGACTTAAGCCTTATATAAAAGTCTTTATTAGAAGTTTCACACAAATCTTATTATAGATGCAGAAGAAAGTTTCGATGATTCTCAGAACGAAATTCATCGCAAGAAATGTAAGGAGTTTTGAGTGATCTCTAGTCGTGGGTGTCAAGGAGTACCAAGGAGCAGGATCTAAGTTCTACTGAGCGGCCATAGCCCCCAGGAGAGGCTATACCCTCTTAGGAGATGATGATACCATTACTCTCTGGAACTTTACTGACAATGAGCCACTTGAGTATAATTCTACACTGACTTCAGAAGCATGAGTCTGTGACTTTACAAAAGATGAGAAATATGGGATAGTTGGGTCAAAGAAAGGGACAGTCATTCTCTGGAACTATGATTCAAATAAAACAATCGCTGTTTTAAAAGGTCATATGAATCGAGTTAGTGCCATTGGAGTTCCCTCTGACCCAGATTGAAAGTATTTAGCTTCTGGTTCCTGAGATACTAATATCAAACTCTGGGACCTTCGCAAGAGGAAAGCTGTCCGTACATTTAAAGGCCATGAAGATAAAATTACAGGTATTGACATCTCTCCTGATACTCAATATCTTGCATCTTCAAGTTTAGATGGGACTGTCAAGATTTGGGATATATAGTAGCTGATAAAATTATGAAAACATTCCCTGCGTCAACAGTTTTGGGAGTTAAGGCTATAAAGTTTAATCCAACACAATACTGAGTGGCTGCTTCCTGAGGAGACAGAAGGATTAGGTACTATGACCTCAATACGTAAGACTTTGGCTCAACTAGGTTAATATTTTAGGCTTGAACTAATCAGTGCTTCTGCAAAAGATACTCAGTCATGCTCTAATATCTGCTTTAAAGAAGACGGAAGCTGTCTGTATGCTTCTAATACTGATAACATGAAGATTTATGACCTTGAAGCTAATAAGATATTGGATATTATTATGAAATCACACAGAAAAAATCTTGATTTGAAGTATAATGATTCACATATAATGATTGCTGACCAAACGAGTAAGTCCGTCATTGTCTCTAGCGTCGATGAGTCATTGCTAAATTATTCTGCTGATGTCAAGATCAGCAAGTCTGTATCGCACTCAAAAGGGAGTGCAGTTGAAAACTCATTTTCTACTAAAAATCGCTCGAATGTAAGCTACCAAACTCCATACAAAGATCGAAGTCATGATACAGCTCATTTTGGTAAAAAATTCAAGCGGCAAGGTAGTGTGATCAGGAATAAGAAATCAGTACTGGCTAACAGCGGTATGAGCTTTATGAGACAAGATTCTTACACAAAGCCGACTGATAATGCTCCTTATACTAACAATAGTTATGATATTTCAGAGTTTGATAATCTCACTCCAAAGCCTCAGAGAGAGGTTATCTCAGCTTTCCATCCAGCTTCACCTCCAACTATCAACGCTGTAGATACTAGAGAAATTGTGAATAAAATAACTAATAACCATTCTAAGGTCTTACAGCTAATGAAGAACAGGAAGAGCCAGTTATGGAACCTTCAGCAGTTTTGGGCAAGTGGTAATTCTCTCCGAACTCTTCAGACACTTCTGAGGTGAAACGACACCAGCCTAATGAAGGACTTTTTTGAATATACCTTTGCTAAATAACAAAAATCTCGAATGTGTCACTCTTGATTGTGCTCTGATTGTCATCAAGCTCTTGAGGCTATTAGTATGTAAACCTCATGCTGAGTTTCATGAATGAGCAAGAACGTCCTTCAGAAATTTCTTTAAGCATATGAAACCGGTAATTTAAAGATCACAAACATTTTTAGATCATTTCTGATCTCAAGCTATCCCAAATTTCTACGATGGTTGATATCGCTAGAGAAGAAAGAGTAGAGAAATGAGATAGGCTCCTAGTTGAGCTCAGAGATCTCCATTCCTCTGATGAGTCTGAGCTACTATATGTTGACAACATAGTTATCAAGTCTGAAATCAATGAATTGTTGCGTAAGATAATCTAGAACAAACTCAGGTTCAATTTGACCTTCCGAAAGAGGGGTTTTGGGGTTTTGGGGTTTTGGGG